TAAGCCAAAGTTTTATAAAAAATATATACCAGTATATATATTTTGCAGTTAAGATGAAAAAACCTTCTTTGTGTGTAAATCTGTTCCCAGAGCTCCTCTAGTAGGAGTTTTAGCTTCACCTGGTTCAGATACCATTAAGGATCTTTTGCTTACTAATTATCAAATGATAAAAGTCAATAGATCAGCTCTACACTGCATTGATATTAAGACAATCAGAAAGGGCTGAGCCTCTCAGATGTTGATCCTAAAGGGTTATTTTAGCTGGAGACGCAACATTTGCTATACATGATCAAGTGTTCAATAAAGGAATTATGTGTCACTGTGTTTTAGAGGAAATAAAAATCTGTTACAATGTTACTGGTGCTGACGCTTACTAAGCTCCAGTTCTTTTTGCTTCCACCAAGACAAACTCTCAGTTGATAAACTCTAGAAGCCAATTACTATGAGGTAAGTGCCACATTTAAAATGCCAGAGGTTTTTTTGGACCAGTCAAATAACAGTAAAACAATGGAATGAAACAGGAATGAAAAGTCAAGTTCACATGAGAATACCCCAACCTGATTGTCTATCTTCAAAAAGTTTATTTCAAAATCCATTGCAACAGAATTTAAGTATGTCATGTCCAGCTTTGAGATGTGCTCACAGCTAATTATTTAGCCATAAATGCCACTTCTAACTAATATCTTTAACACTGTCGGCCTTTTAATATCTCCAGGTGGTGTCAATAAATCTCACTGTGGAAGCTGAGATTAACTCCAATTTTCCAGCTGCTGGTTTGGATGAGAAATTATTTGATTAGGATTGTGAGGCATTCATAAGCACCCACTGTGTTCAAAGTACAACTGAGGCATCGGTTTTCAGAAACACTGGGATAAATAATGCATGTGTGGTCAAATCGTCCCCATACGTATAAACATAGAGTAAAAGACATAAAGTGAATGAGATGCTTAATTATGTAACGACATGTCCTTAACTTGGGTCTTGGCTTTTGGGAAACCAGTAACAACTGGCTCCATGATTAAGAACTGCAACCTCTTTTGTGGAAAAGCCCAATGTTTGCTACATTCCATTATTATTACAGGAGAACTATGATGGAAAATTCACTTTATAGGCTTTTGTACCTTTTTTTTCTGTACTGCTTCGAGAAACAATCCAAGCACTAAAAAGAATCATTCAGCAATTTTCTGACAAGTGTCTGGAAAACGAGCCATTTAAAAATCGTCCTGACGTTGACATTACAATCGGCAGGTGGACAACCGTTAACTCGAGGTGATGACTTGGCCTCCAAATTCTCCAATTTTAGATCCAATCTTGTATGTATGGTGTGTGCTGGTGAAACGGGTCCAATTCCTGGAGCTCCACCACACCACCTCCAGAACTTTAAAAAAAATCTTCAAACATCTCATTGTCAGATACTGCTGCAAACTTACAGGGGTCTAGCAGAATCATCAGGGCTGTTTTCAAACCAAAATGAAGACCAACTCTCTGTTAGGCAGTTTGTCATACTTCATGTATGACAAACCTGTGCTGTAGAAAACCTGTTTGGTGTGTAAACATAATGCCCTAATGCATCATTCATGTCCAAGACAGTGGACCTCAGTCTGCCCTTGCATATGTTTCAAACATTTATTTATGTTTTCCTTTATGTTTCCATTAATAGTGACTTGAAGAAGCCATCTCAGCTCGCCTTTTCTGCTACTAATATTCAAAACATTCCTACTTCCTCTAAAGATAGCACATGAATCATATTTTGCCTAATTTTTCATTTTGCCCAGCCTTTTTATTTTTTATGCCACTTAAAGCAAAAGTGAAAGCCCATTAGCATTCATTGGGAGGGAAAAATATGTTAATGGCATTTTAATGGTCCAAATGCAAACCTCCTCTGTCATCACTTACCCTGTCCTCTGTCTGTGTTTTCATCTGTCCTCTTGTTTTCTCTGTGCATAAGCTGTTCCTAGGCTGCAGACTGGGGGCAGTGAATGTGTAGCCTTCAGGCAGTAACAGCCCGAAAATGTGAGGACTTAAAAAACAGACTTATCAGATTACATCACATCTCTTCTGCTTTCCCACCCCAGAGTGTCAGTGAGCTAATACTGTTTGTGTGTGTGAGTGCGTGTGTTTTAACAGGGCCTCCTCTGACACACATAAATGTTATATACAGCTACTATTCCAACAAATAACTTTCTCATAAACGTGTGTATTTCTGCGTTTTTGCTTCAAAACCTCCCTCCCCCCTTAACTGCTGATATTGACAAAGCATTTTGTTGTCAGTGCACACCTGAAACAGTCTGATTGTTTACCAACACTGGATTAAAATATGCGTCTGTATGTATAATGCAAATATGCAAACATCTTGACTTATTTACTGCTTGGTCTTTTTATTTTCGCCTACAAATGAAAAGAAAAAAAAAGAAAAAATATCAACTTGCATCCTTTTTTCAATTGTGACATTGGAGTGATAATAATGGTAAACATTAGATAAGTAATATGTACTGATGGATGTAACTGATGGACTAGTGATGTGTCCAGGATGTGTCCTGCCTTCCACCCAGCGCCTGCTGGAGACGGGCACTGGCTCCCCTGTGACCTCTGGAAAAGCAGATATTGACAGTGGATGGATGGATGGATGGATGGATGGATGATGGATGGAAACATGCATTTTAATCTCAACTGTCAATCAAGCTAGACGGATGTGCACTGACAGCTACATGCTCCCAGGAAATATTAGAGACAAAGTTGGGTGTGGCACACATCCAAATGAAGAATTGTAATTTTCCAGTCAGACCTACTGCACACACCACAAACCCGACCCTAACCCATACAGCAGTTGTTCAGATCACAGAGAACACAGCGATAACAGAATAGTTTGTGTTAAAGATAATGTTTTCTGACATGTATCCCACACACAGTCCTGGACTTGCACATTATTTTTACACAGAAAGGCGTTTTGGTCTATAGCTTACTTATGAAAGTTTTGTATTACTGGTACATGGTTCCTTGTTACCTACATGTGCCAGGGCAGCGTTGCTTCACAAAAAAAGAAAAACTGAAAATGGAATCATGAATGCTTGACGGACATTTATGAAATCAGCCTTGCATCAAAGTATCAAAGTAGACAAGTCTGCGCTGCACAGAAAGAATCTTAATGAATTCAACACAATTATAACGCCGAGGTTAAGTAAACAATGCATGACGTCGCCAACTAAGCTGCACATCTTTAACCCTGAAAAATTACTGCATTGCATGTGGAAAAATCCGTTTTGATGCAACATTAGATACAGTCAGTAAAATCATCAGTAGGTATTCAGTATATACCCCAAAAATATATTTCAGATTTTATTTTTTTATTTTTTTTAGATTAAATGATGTGTAGCCGTTTTAGTAAAGCAAGAATGATTTAAAGTTAAAAGTTCACAAGCTAAACCAGTACAGGATGCCTCTGTTCTCCACCGAGGACTTTGACAAACTTCTCCAGATAATCAAAGTGATAGAAATGAACATTCCCTGAGTTGAAGTAAATGTAGAGGAAAATGCTGAAGATGGAAAGAAGACAACCTTACCAAAACATGGAAGGGACTGACACACAGCAGGACAGGAAACCTCCCTGAAAATAAACCCCTACTTCATGTCTGGGACGATATTTAACAGGTGAACCAGCCTGACCAGCAGAGAGACGGGGGAAAAGCAGCCAAGTGACATCAGACATAAAAATTTCACTGAACAACAAGTCCAGTGAATTAAAAAAAGTAAAACCTGCTGTGTTTCACTTTGACTCAAATAAAAAAAGTGTTGTTTTGTTCTTTTTTTAAACTGGCTGACAAAGAAGGGAGATTGGAAACCTAAAATAAAAAGCATCAGCAGAAGTCATTTATCTGGGAAACGACTGTCTGTTCCAGTTTGATTGTTCTTGACTAAGTATGTATCTATCCATGCAAATGTAATCATTTCTCAGCTTGAGATAATCCTACAATCCAAACAAGAATTAATTCTTACAGAAACATCTCTCCAGTTTAGTCAAGCAAAGCTGTTTCAATGTGCTCCAACTTCATTGTTTCTTTGCTTGAAGTTAGTAAGGTCTTTCTGTCTTCACGTCTTTTATGTGACTTTATAAATTTGCCTACTTGAGTTTCTGCTTGCTGCTGCCAACTAACATCCAGATTATTACATGACATTACGTACAGTAAGAAATGAAAACAAAAGAGGCAAATCTTACAGATACAAAAAGACAGAAGACATACTGGAGCTCTCAAAAGTATACAGAACACTTTTAAGAGCCAAACCGGTGCTGTCAAGTACCAGCTTACCTTAAAAATAATTACATCCTTATGTATAACTTCAAAACTGTTTCCAACTCTGATATGAGCCATTAGGTTGCCAAAACAGTTTGCCCATCAATGTACATGATTTAAATTGGGTGTCCAGTCAGTTCCATGGTCGCATGTTTACAAATTGCTTCAACAAACATGTGAACAATGAGAGTCTCTGAAGTGGTCAATAAATTTCAAAGTGAATTTGAGCAGCCAGTCAGTCTCATCCAACATCAGTGTCTGACCTCATGAATGTGCTGCTTGAGGAATAGTTAAAAAAAAAAGAAAACAGCTTGGAAAGCCATCACAGAACATTTAAGGGCAGGATGATGTCACACAAAAACTCAGAGATTTTGATAGACACATGCTAACAAGGAGAGAAGAGGTCACAGGTCAGGATGGTTAGAAATCGTTGGAACTCATGTTTTTAAACTAAGCTTGAACAATTTTCGGCACACAAGAGACAAAATGTGGCCTGTATTTGTCTCTCAATTATCAAAAATTATACCCAATTATCACCTGCTACTTTATAGGGACAACTCTGAACACAGAGTTTGAGAAAACACTCAACACTTTATTTTGGAATCCTTAGTAAAATTTACCTTTGTCTAGTCGACATTCAGGTTGCTCTATTTTATTAAGTCTTATGTGCCATATCTATGTCGTCTGACTGTGAGGACAATACAAACTTACTTTTGGAGAGCATCTATCTTGTCAGCTTTGATTCCTCTGAGCAGCTCTTCAAGCAGGTCCAAGCTTTCAGGTGGAGGAGCAGTGGGACGTTTCGAAGAAGTGTGGATGAACCAGCCAACGAGGATACCAAGGACAAAAATTCCCACCCCGGCAAGGAAGTATCTATGGACAAAATCGGAGAACGGTTTCAGTATAACACAGCAAAGAGGAACAGGAAGTGGTTTAAGATTAGCTGACATGATACGAACGATAAGACCAAGAGAAAAGAAGACAAAACACTAATCAGAGTATAATAATAATACTTACATGAACAGAGTTTCAAGGGGGATTGTAATGAGTGCATTATGTATGTGGAGTCAGGGTATTCATTTAGAAAGGTCAAATCGCATGCAGAAAAGTGAGCATTGTACTTCTCCTAATTGAGGTGATTTAGACTTAACATCTGCTGACATCTGAATTGAAGAGAAATGATCTAAGAATTATTAATGCAATTTATTGTTGCACTGCTCCTGTTAATGCTGGAGCAGTATAGATTCAGTATAATACTGAATAGGGAATCCAGAATGTTCTTTTATCATTCAAAATGGAAAAGTTTTGCTTCACAGTGAAGAAAAAAGCCTAAGATTCCCTTCAGAAGACGTTGCAAATTTCCCAGCTTAATCAGATTTTTGCATGTTGCATGGAGGTTGAAGTGGACTCAGAGAGGTAGAGACAACAAATGGACAGTGAAGGTTTAATGAAAATAATGACGACAAAGAAAACTTACAAACAGCCAGATGAACACAAAAAGCAGGAACCAGGAACAGGAGGAGGAGGAGCATAGAAGGAGGAACCAGCAAGGAGTGAATGAGAGAGAGGATTAAATACTGGGAGTGTGAATGCTGGAACAACAGACTGGACTAATTAACTAACTAGTAGCAGGTGTGAGGGGAGAGAAAGAGAAAGAACATGGCTTACAGGGCGAGGGAGAGCACAGCAGGAGAACTAAGAGTAAAAGAGAATAATGAGATACAAGGAATAAACAAACATAATAAATAGAATCACTACAAACTAAACTAAAGTGAGACGAAAACAAGACTGATCTGACCAAAGCAAGAAACTAAGGAATACACAGCACTAAACAAACGTCAAAACAATGCAAACAACCCAGGATCCTGACCGATTATTTATGCGTACTAAACAGATTGAAAATATTCCTTAAACATCAAAAATTCTTTGCATGATTTTTGTATTAACCTAAAAAGCTGTGTTAGCATGGTATGAGATGATGTAACATTTTACCGGTTGTGTTTTCCATAAATGCATCATAACCCAGTAAAGCTGCTCTGTAACTACCTGAGTATGAAACAGTGAAGTCGCCTTTGACCTTTGTGGCCAGTCGTCCTGGTGAAGTGAGAGATGTAGTTGGGATCCTCTTGGAGTCGTTCAAAGCGTCCATGAGGTGAAACTGAGACAGAATTCTGGATGGGTTCCATGAACTCGGGGTCAGGGTCAGGGCCAGGGTCTGAACAACCTAGAGGTCACAGTTCACAACATAGTTTTGCTTTCTTTTTTTACGTTAGCATTTCCATTTCTAAATTAATGAAAAAGAAACAAAAACAGCAAAACAAAAAAGAACAATAAGTCAGATAATATGTTATTCAGGGACGATGGGTTATTAACAATCTGTTGGCTAAGTTCTGACTCAAACAGGGAAAATAAAAAAAATAAAAAAACGTGTACTAAAATATATAGTTCCTAGCTCAGAATAATGTTTGAAGGACTGAGAAAATGAAATCATGTTGGGTTCAATCAATCCTGACAAGTATTCAAACAAAGATAATGAATGAAAAAGTAAAAAAATAAAAAATTAAAATTAAATTTACATTTACATTTAGCTCAGACATCTAGATAATAGTCAATTAATCATAGTAAAAAAATAGATGTAGTCAATTTAATAGTTTTAAATGTCTTATAAATGGTCTTCCAACTGTTTCAGTTGGAAGACTGGAGTACCGGTAAAACTTTGCCGGTACTCCACCAATGTCCCAGGAAATTTTTTCCTCTTCCTTCAGAGAGGAAAAACATTTTGTTTGTGACTCATTACTGTTTGTTTTGAGATCCTGATACATATTTTCAGAAAATATTTTCCTCAGTCTAATCAAAAGCATGTGGGATCTGTGCTACAGCTCTGAACCAACTGCAACACAAAACTGAATCATATTTGCATTATAAAAAATCATGAATCTTACTCATCAATGGGTGATGCATATTGCATGAGGTTCAGCCCAGCCTTATTACACATCTCAACAGCAAACTGTAGACCATAGAAAATAACTTGGATTTGGTGAATTATGATGATTATTTCATTTTCCCAGTAATTGTCTGACAATACACACTGTGAATTCTCGGTGCAGTGAAAGTTTTTTTTAATAAATGATTCATACACTCGGTTTTATTAATCTAACTTCACTTGGAACATTTATTAACTAAATGTGAGCTGAAAGATTCACAACAGCTTAGCCTGATTAGGCTACACAAACCATAATTATAATAGAAAGATGGCAGTAATGTCTGACCTGATCTCTGGCAGTCGCCATGCTGCATCTGCGTGCGTTCGCTGCTTGGCCCCGCTTCCTGCAGCTCCTCCTTGTCCAGGTCCCAGTCGAGTTCCAGGGATCCAGAGCAGCGCAGAACCTCTCCATCCAGTGGCCCCGCCTGGGCATCACACACCTTCCTGTAGGCCATGAAGTCACCTGGAGCATAAAGACACAAAAACAGACGTTTATTGTAGCTTTTCTAGAAACACATGCTGCGGTCACACTGGCTTTGATGCTCAATAAATAGTTTTTGTTTAATTGGACTCATTTTGTGTGGTCATTTACATTCCAATTATATGTCATCTCCTGAGTGAACTGCAAACAACCTAAGTGTCTCGCATGCACAGTAGAGGGCGCAGTAACGTCACATGTAGCAAGCGGGCTCAGTGGAAGTAAACGTGGATGCTAATGGTGGAGCATATTTTGGGATTTTAAAGTTGTTGTCCAACCAGAGCTAGCATATTAACAATTTAACATTATGGTCTGTCATGGTTGTTGTTTTTCCTTCTGCTTCCGTGTATCAGGTGCAGAACAGTGAGGTTTGTCGAGTTTGTCGAATGACATTCAGGTCAGATGAAGATGACCTGGCCATGCAGACACAGGTCACATTAGAAGGGATCAGGTATCACATATTCAAGTGGCCTGAGCCACATTTGTTAAAATGGGACCTGTGTTGTTCAGAGTGTCATGTAAACATCAGGTACCATTCTCATTAAATACAAAAATTGGAATTGGGTCACTTCAGGCTGCAGTATGAATGTAGCCATAGACAATTCCTCACTGTTGGAGCAACAGAAAGGTGTAATTAAGAAAGATATTTTAAGAGAACATTGCAGCTTGTCCATTCTTCAGCTGTAGGACAGAATTATGGTGAGGATTTCTCCTGAGTTAACTCTGGTCCGAAAACGATTAACATTTTAGAATTTCCATTGGTCCAATTCACCACTGAACTGCTGCAAAACAACACTGTACAACATGGCAGCTCTTGTCAAGGCTGTTCATAGACCAGTTGCCAAAACTATATTCTTATTTATCTTCAAATGGAGATCCAGCTGAGTACCATCTCATTCTTAACCCATATGCTGCAATATGAAGTCAGCCCAGTCCTTCAGCTATAACAGCTTCAACAAAGGGTCCACGCCCACCTACTTAGAAACACACAAAGAAAAACTCCCATTATTTTTCCTGCACCATCTTTTTCACTCAACACAATGTATTCAAGCAAGTTCCATTCTCCTGACAACCATCAAACTCTCTTCTGTTGGACTGTCAGACAGAAGTCTGCTGCATCTCTCCAGAGATCACGTCTCCACTGCTCTGTAACCCAGTGGTGGTGTGGTGTGCAGTACTGCATTCGAAGGTCTGCATTGCTCTCCATGATGCAAGGCTTGCATGCAGCTGTTCGGCCATGAAGCTCCCTACACACTGCATTGACTATGCAGAAAGTTGACAACCTGAATGTGTTGGACAACTCAGCATCTCCTTACACTTCTTGGGATTTTCCGTGGCCTTGTTGCCGTCATCGCTCTTTTTTCCCAGTTGTTTCCCCTCTTGAAAGGAAACTATATTTACCAATGTATTACTGGAAATATGTTGTACTGTTTTATTTTCCCAATACATTTTCTAGTATATTAAAGGTTCTAAATACATTGAATTATATATGATGCATGTATTATGCAACATTTTATATGTTCATGTAATATATTGCAATATATTTCAAAATATACAAATGATTGCAGTTTTCCATATATTGCAATATATTAAACACAACTACGTGTTTATATATCCCAAAATATTAATTATGTTATATTCATTAATAACTACCATCACTTATTACAATTTATATGGGGAAAAAAATAATATATATATATGAAAAGATATATGAGCAATATATATGCATTTTTTGTATTTATCTATATACATGCATATGGTTTATACCCATTGTTCTGCCCTTTAATTTATTGTAAAATAGGTTTTTAGTGTTAATTTTGTGACAGTGCACTGAGTCTTTTATTTTGAAGGTCATGTCAGGCATGGGACAGGAAATCAGGCACTTCCTTTAGTTTTTCACAGTCACAAGTGAAGAGGTGCATCTGTTGTAGTCAGCTTTTCGTTTGTGCCAACGACATCACCGTCTGTAAGTTTTCATTCTATATTCTTGAGTAAATGTTATTTAGTATCTTACTTGTTAAGAATGTGTGAAGTAAATGTGGATTTTGATAGCTGCATAGTGCTTATGGGTTCATGTTGATTTCTTTTGGGCATGGAATTATAATTTTCTTAGTTTAACTTTTTTCTAAGGATCATAAATTAAACACAGCTATTTTTTGCTTATATGTTACGGTTTACTCCATGTTTCACTTGTACTTGGGTCACCAAAATAAAGTGGAGGCAAAGACTCTATATCCTGACTCAAGCATTCATTTAGAAGGAGTTAGGCTTACTGCTAAATTGTGTTAAACACACAAGGAGAGCAAAATACCTTTGTTGCAATATATTGGAAAATAAAAATACTAAATCTCTTATATGAGAATATATTGCTCAATGTATTGAATGATATTTTCCGATATACTGCATCATATCGGCGATATATTTTAGTTTCATGATGGTCCACTTTGTCGTAACACCACCAACAGTTGACTATAGGGTATTTGGTTGTTATAAAACATGGCGGCGTCGTGTTATGGTACCATGTTGGAATTCACTCTTACTCCAAATCTGTTTGATCTTATACATCTGTGGACATGGAGGTCATTGGAAAGACTGAATTCAGTTATTTAGATGGTGAAACGAATATTTTTGGGAATACAAAGTAAATGTGGATCCTGAAAACGAACTAAAATCTAAACTATCTAAACTATAAAAAGTTGCCTTACATGTAATAATGCAGCTAAGAGAAGTCGTGTTTGGTTAAAGGATGTAGATAAATACTTAGCACATGGTGAGACATTAAGGAAAGTCCTGCTTGTGTTTTGACCCCAGCTACTGGGTCATTAAGGTTTTTGTTGAAGCTTTCCATGACTGACATGTACAAAGACAATTTGTGGCTCTGCCAAGCCTGAGCTGCATAAAACCTTCCAGCAAATGTGTTACTATGTCTTTAAGCTTAATTGTGCTTTTTACGTCATCCGTTGTAAAGCAGACTATAAAAGGGCAATTATATTCACTAAACATAAAACAAAGTGGCGTAAAGAAAAGCTGCTTCTGCTACTTAAACTTAAAGAGAATGGCTTTGTGATTTTCACTCCAGCGTCGATATTTCAACACCAATGTTCTTGATATGGACATTTCTTTGTACTTAAGTGAGGCTTTGTTGAATTAAAATAAACACAAAACTGCACAGCAACTGTGACTGGTACCAATTTCAGCTTAGGTTTGAAGTGGTTGCCTCAGATGTGCAACTGCTAAATCACTCCCAAATCTGGGAGAAAGAACTAAAGAAGCAATGATAAAATCCTGTAGAGAAGAGTGGACAGAGTAAGGTAAGGAGAAAAACACACATCATGAGAGACAAAGACAAAGCAAACAGATGAAAACAGGAAGGCAGAAGAGACAGGGCAGAGAGTTTATAGATGAATGAGAGAAGGGTAAAATGCAGAGAAAGGAGGTCTGGGAATTCCCTGGCATCAATCTTCAATGCTCCACCACACTTTCATTACTTCTAGCTCAATGCAGATGAAGGCTCCTCTCACTAAAATGGAACAAAAGTTCAGTGCAGCACTGACCTCCTGTTACAAGCCCCACACAGTGCAGATAGCATCACCTTACTCCTCTCACAGCCTGGGAGAACAAAGCCTGTTAAAACGTTGTTACCATTATTGTCTGCACATGTACTTTGGCTTTGCAAGAGTTCACCGTTTTCCAATTCTCACATCTACATAAAAAGAACACCTTAAATAAACTTCAGATACTTTTCTTCATTTTATTGAAAACTGAAGGGTTATTTTGAACCCTTCTATATACCACTATAAAAGTTGTATATAGTGCGACAAAAAGTCGTATATAGTGCCACTGTGTCCAACTGATTTGAAAAAGCATACATTCTCTGATTTTGATCTCCAATTGCAGAGAGCTAATATTTAGTGCATCTTGTAACGCCAAGACATCACGCATGATGACAGAAATAAAGATTAATAAGTTGGTTATATTGCTTGTGCGTCAGATTCACCAGTGTTGCTGAAACGTGCGAGTACAAAGGTTGTTCCTGCAAACGCATCAGCAGATGAAATCTTTGTGTAAAACTGCTTGGTCCCCTTCTTCCAGTGTTAAAAAACCATTTACCATTCTGTCTGTTAAAAGTGATTGTTTCATCTCTGGGTTTTTTTTTTTTTGTATGAAAAAACCCCCAAAGTGATTATGTTGAAAATATTAATGCGTAAAAATCGATGTAATTAATTAATCAAAATGAACACATCAAAGCCCTGGTCCTAATTAATAATACATAAATAATAATAATAAGAATGTAAATAGATAAGTAAGTTTGTAATAACTGCATTTATGTTTAACCCTAAACAAACCTTAATACACACCACACCTCTAAACCTAACCCTAAAAAACAGAGTCTCCCACTTTAGGGCCTTTAGGCCTTCAGAAGATCAGTAAATGTCCTAAATAGGCAACATAAACATTAGAAGATAAATGTGGCTTTTTTGATCAGTTACCTCTCATTTTATCTCTGTTAGCTTCAAACAGATTGACAAGGTGGTGTGAAGCCTTTCTACTTGCCTCCTATACATAAAGTGTCATCACACCAACATGCTGATTATACAGTCAAACATTTTCCCTGATCAAGGCAGACAGACAAAGCATGAAAGTGGGGGAATGTTTTTCCCAACCATTTAATTTGACACAACCTCCTCAGCTGCTTTAGTTATGGAATATGAAGTGTGCTGTCAATCACGGCTCTCCAACACCGAGGCACCAGCAGGGGCAACGGAGCACCAAAAATTATACAAATTTCCTCATAAATTAAACATGAAGACAACCTAAAAAAGCCACTAACTCTATAGATTTTCACATTATGAAGAAAACCTAAACAGATTAGTAATCCCGACTGCCTGATGTGTTTCACAACAGAACTGTAAGATAATGAGTAATAGTAAAAAAATAATAATAATACAAAAATTAAAAGCCACATGGGCTAATCTGGGTAGCACACTGTAAAATAATGGCATGATAAAGGGTATCCATGGAGACCCTTTACATTTTGTGCTTGCTAGTTCCAGTCAAGTGCTACTGGGAAGCCAGGCAGGCTTTTCTTAAGTAAATAATGGTGGAAGTATTCTCTGAAGAACATTTTGATGTCTTGATATTTTTATTTATGGTTAAATTCTCACCAACCTGTGCAGGGTCGTTCTGAGACCACTAAAGGGGCAGGTGCTCAAGCACCCCCAGACCCCCCCTCTGCACGTGCCTGAGCCTGTGGAAAAACAAGTAA